GCGCTGCTTGTTGAAGGGACTTCCATTCACTTGTTCCCCAGAACGAGACGCATTCCGGCATGTAGTCCTTGGGATCAGCCGGTTGCTCAAGCAAAAACAGCGTTTCTTTTGGATGTACACCTTCTTCTCCGTCAGGAGCTGTGGAGTCCTTGAGCTTTCGTGCCATGTCCGCCACGAGGAACAAGAAGATTTGCCTCCACATCAGGATGTCATCCTCTTCACACATCTTCCTTTCTTCAGGGCTGTAGCTTTGAACACCCCAAGGTTCGCTCCAGGTTCGCACTGGCTTTTTGAAGGGTGAATCCTTCTTTTTCTCCAGCGTAGAGGTGTAGAAGGACAGAACCAGCCTTTTTGAGTCTTTTCCTTTGATGCCGGTTGGCCGGCAAATCGCTCCATTCACCTGGGGCCATCACCAATGCATTCTTCAGGTGTTCCGGCAAAGTAGTCAACGTGGGGTGTCCATCCACCAAGGACTGCAGCCATTCGAGCTCCTTCTCGGGATGAACTTCTACTGCCACGCGTGCTTGCTTGACCAGGAGGGCTTTTTCTTCGAACTCCTTGATGAGGTCCAGGGCAAGCTTCTTTGGGATTTGTGGACATCCAGCTTGAATGCTGATGGGCAAAGTTCCTTTGGTGGGATGCATGACCTTCATACCCCCTTTTTTCATGAAATCTGGCAGCCTCCTTCAGCCAACATTCCAAGCGGCACGATGGGCTCCACAGCCAGATTCGTAGTGACCATGACTCCAGCATCGGTCATCAGCAATGGCGTTGTTCTGCCATCTGCAAGCGAGACAGAGACCTTCTTCAATGCCTCAATTCGATCGGTGGCCACCAAAGGTCGCAGAGGATGTGTGGCCCCTGAGTCCAGTAGCCCCCATTCTTCTTCAGTTGACCCAAGCTTGGCCTCTCTCACCTTTGTAAGCTTCAGGGTCTTGATGCTCTTCTTGATCTCGTCCAACTGTTGGTGGAGGCGACTCAACTTCGCTTCCGAGGCTTCCTTGTCCTTCATGACTTTGAGCATACGATTGGCTTCGGCCAAAAGCTCATCCATCTTGTCATCTTCTTGACCTCCACTTCCCTTCTCACCATCTTCACCCTTCACCACTTTATCTTCCTCCTTTTCCTTCTTCACCTTAGGCGGGGAGTTTGGAGCGCTGATGGTAGGTGACTCTTTGGTAGGGCATGAAGGCGCCAAGTGCTTTGTAGAACCACAGGTGTAGCACCTCTTTTGTTCATCCTTTTGATCATGGCTCCATTTGCAATCACGGCCACGACGACACCCGTTCTCCGACAGGTAGAACTTGCATGGAGATTTCACCTCCATCTCCTTGATCTTTGCTTCATTTCCTTTTGTCTTTTGGGTCGCGGAGCCATCTTCCAGCTTCTTGACCTTTCCTTCTTCCCTTTTCCCACCTCCTCCACTTCGCTTCTCAGCCAGGGAAAGCTGGTCGATCTCGGCGATGAGGTGCGTGGCAAACTGACTGACCGACAGGGCATTGGGGTTGGTGTCAACCTGCAAGGCATTTCGAGCCAGTGACACCCGAAATCGAAGGCTTTCATTGCCTTCTAGAGTCCGCCTCGTCAGGCGATTGAGCCCCTTGACCAGGATCGAAGGATCAGGCTCCCAAGCCGCCCTTCCTCTGTCACCCGGAGTGGCTCTTGACCTTGGAGGTTCAGGAACATGTTCTTCAGGGGTCCCAAACGTAGAAGGTGGCCGACCAGCTTCATGATCTTCTTTCTCCTTCTGAACCCCTTTTTCTTCTTGTTCTTCCTTCAACCTTCTTTCATGAAGCTCTTGTTGAAGTAGGGTGTTTTCTAACTTTTGTTGATGGCACAATTCCGTCAACACACGAACTTCCTGTGAGATTTGCCACCTCCACATGACTTCTTCTTCCTGTTCACGTAGGTGGTCTTGTTGATCTAGGTCAAACACTTCAGGCCCATGACCCTTTTGGTGCCCTTCGTAGGAGCCGCCTTCTTCTTCATGGCCTTCATCAAAGAGATCGCTTCCTTTTCTTTCTTCTTTCACCTCATACCTCTTCTCCTCCTCCTTCATGAAGTCCGGGCGCTTCACTTGGCCTGGGGGATCATCGCCTGAGGAGACTGGAGGCACCAAGGTACCATAGAGCATCGGTGCTTGCCTTGCCTGAGCTCGGGCTGACCTGAGTTGATCCTCAGTGAACAACGGTGGCTGTCCTGATGGCAGTGCAAGCGGCGCCAAAACACGAGGTTTGCCCTTAGGGCCTTCGAGGGCTTCTTTTGGGCTTATCTTTGACCCACCACTTCTAAACACTTCCAGCTCTGTCGGACCGGTTCCGGTGTCTGGGCGTCCAGTGGTGCTTCTTGTTGGAGTACTGAGGGCTTTCTCCAACCCTTTCACCTCCACTTCCAACCCATCCCTTCCAGGGGCGACAGGCTGCTGAAAGGCCGGCACCAACTCTTGGCCAACCAACTGAAGATCTTCTTGATGAAGCTCCTCATCATCAGCTCCAGCTCTGGATGAGCACCGTCGTCGCAGCATGGCCATCTCCGGAGCGCGGGAGCTAGATGAATCCCCTTGCGTTGGGCTCATAACCTGTTCATGCAGGGGTTTCACCTGACCTTGATTGGGCATGTTCCTCACCCAACACTTCAAAACCTTTCCCTTCACTCGGACACAAACAGCTTTTCTTTTTCTGCTGATGTGCTTCGGTCTTGGGTGACCGTCTTGAGCTCATTGAGCTCGCTTGCTCAAAAGGGCTGCAGCGTTCGACATGCCGCATGAAGTGTCTTCTGTCAACAGTAACAATTCCATGAGAACACCCTGAGAGATCACATTCTGAACATTACATCAGTATGTTGAGCCATCCGTCTTAAATACTACGAGAGCAAGGTCGCAAGTTACTCCTGGATCTTCATGCAACACATATGGGTGCGGAAACTTCAGAATATGTGGTGGAATGTGGTGGACGTAATTATTTCTGTTCACCCCCTGGCCCAATCAATGGGGGCGGATCGGAACGGCGGGTGTGGGTCTCTCTATTTGGATACACACCCATCTAGATGGAGAGACATCATTGGTGTTTGGGATTTTGAACTCTTGACACTTTGTCATTGATCCTGATTTGACCTCCTGGATGGGGATGGTTTTAGATGAATCCATGGCCAGCAGCTGACGCACCTTCCAGCAACATATCACATCTGCATAACACCCTTTAGGTGAAACTGAAAGGGGACTAGGGGCTACAAAAACAAAATGTGTCCTATCCCCACACTCTCAAACTTACTCTCTCCAACCTACTAATCTGCACACATCCATCTGGAGCAACCCCGGGTGCCACACAAAGCCCCCCTAACTCATATCATCATATCATATCATCATATCATATCATCATAGCACACGCGGTTTTGGTTGCAACCGGGGCCTTAGAGGCAAAGCGGAGCGAGGACAATGTCTCCCCAAGATGCTCCTGCATGCGACATACGTGGGAGTGAAACCGGTATAATTTGGCCGGTGGCTTACTTGTTGATGACTTGATGCAGCCAGCGGCGGGGCAACATATATCACAAGCAAGTCTCAAGCTTCAAGTTCAAAGTCCAAACTACTCCACTCAGTTCTCGTTGTTGCGCCAAAGTCAAACAGCATTTCAAACATGTTCAATCCATTTCCAAGAACCTTCACTCGGACTCTATACATGACCCCTGAAAACTGGCGTAACCAAAGGTTCGCTTACCAACATCCACCAACTCTTTGCAGGTGTGCTTTCCGATTACCTTAGATTCCGTCCCATATATACCCGCCTGGAAGGGGGACACATTCACAAACCTCAGAGCCAATTCTCTCCAAGTTGGTCAGGATCCGAAAGGGCAGCAAACCGGCACCTGTATAAACCATATTCATATTCAAAAATACAATATATATATATAATGATATGGCATATATGGTACCATGTTTGCTTCTCATGCAGGCGCTTCGACTTGAACAGTTTCAGACCTATGCTTGCACTTGTTGATCCACAACTCACCACATCTTCAGAAAATTCCTAGTTCAACTTACCGGATGACCAAACGAACAGGTCGACCTCCTTCTGGAGATCGATCAGTATCATCTACCTCCGGTCCTGTCACAGATCCTAGAAGCGAACCAATCGACGAACAAGCACCTCCGAGAAGTCATGATCACATATTTGTCGGAGATAATCAAATATGCCCCAACACAAGCAAGTTCTCAAGCAAAGAGAAAACAATTGAGAAACGCATCCACTTCAATGGATCTAGTGGGTTGAGGACTTAGAACAATCAAATGCGCTGAAGTGCACCACCTACTTCAGATTTTCTTGGTTCCTGGGGTATTGTATATAGTTATATATATATATGTCCCCCAAAAAGAAAAAGTATATAAACCGGTCTGGATACATATATAGACTCATATAATATATAGATCCTATATTTCTTTATAGATTACACATAGAATTCGTAGATCGCCCTCCCAAAACCCTCCAGGGCTCCGAACATCAAGGTCTTCGAGTCACCGCCCAAGGAGTCGCGGAGCAACATCGTCAGGCGGCTGTTGCGGAACCTCGGGACGCACGGCGCCGGGTCCCTTTCGGTCGTCTGCGGTTGGTGCGTGGTTCGGTCGCACCGAGCACCGGGGGGTGCGATTCAGCAGCAAAAAAGGCCTCCAAGTAACGACTTGCAGTCTTAAAGGCACATTGAGGTTCATTCTTCATTTATGTGTAGATTTCTCAAGCATCTGGTTTTTCATGGTTTTTCATGCTGAGGCCACTTGCTAGGACTTTCATCCCGCATCGGGTAGATGTGGAGGGATACGAGTGACTGGGCAAGACCAGCGGCTAGGTGACTAACTTGGAACAGTCAAAACCTTGCCGGGCCGCGTCACACATCACAGGTCCGGTCCACACAGGCGACTTTCCATTCTTCCAGCGAATACAGTAGATGGTTTCGGATCATGAATGATGTTCAGGGGGCCGTTCAAGCACGAAAAAGGCTCGAGCTTGGCGATGATGAGGGAACTGGAACAAATGCAGCAGACTGTGACAAACATGACAAACGTTGTTGTAGAATTCACTGCGTTTAAAAATTGTTGGGGAGCAAACCCAACTGCACTACTCCTCAGCTCCTTTCTTCTCAAGCAATTCAGAGCGTGCAACGGGCAGTTTTTTTGCCCACGGGAAAATGTGCTGCACGTCTTGATTTGAAGAGGCGTGGAGGAGCATCTTAAAAAGGACAAGCGTCCTTCCACTCCTCATCACTCCACTTCTTCCTATAATGCCATACTATGCCACCAACTCCCGCAGCGTCTTCCACCCTTCCATCACCAGCGTCTTGGGGCTTCCACTGCCCGGCTCCGCCCAAACAGCTTGGCGCTCGGAGCGCCGGGAGGGGCAGCCCTGCTGGATCCAGGAGACGCAGTGGCGGTAGCCATCCTCGAAGAGCCGGAGCATGTCTTGAGCATCCACCTGAGCAGCCACTGGCAGTGGAGTCAGTATGAGGATGGACAAGCTCGACATGCAATTATACATATATCATATATGGCCACAATACACGGTTTGTATTTTGTATGTTCAAGTGTTGATTAAATTTAGCGCTCTGGTGATGGAGTCCCCTCTACACACCCATGCCAGCGCCCTCCAACAGGTTACTAGCTGAGAATCTGAGTGCGTATGGGTTGCCAAGTGGTTGCTGGTTAAACTTGCTTCATGGCAATCCAAATGCTAAAAAATCTTGTCTTGACTGGTTCCTTACAATTCGCATTTGGGTGGACCTGGCATGGCTTTGCTCCATTCTACTGAACCCAAACGCAATCAATGGCTTGCTCAGTCACCCCACTGAAAACTATCATGGACCCTGACAATCATTGGTTTGTAGAGGAAAACCGTCATTCACGGTGCCAGTCTCAGGGTGCATGTTTGTTTTTGGGAGTGCTAAATCATGCTAAATCAATCCGTCGTAACTTAAATTGTGAGCTTGTCAAATATGGATCGCCGAGCTGCGGGCTGAAACACCAAAGTGCGGGGATATTCTTCAGCAGGGCCCACGTCAGGCACGTTGGAATGGTATGGGCTGAAGACCTCAGATGTGTCCACAGAAGCTGCAAAACATATAGATTTACAGCATCATCGGGAAGTCATATCAAATGCCTGGACATGGGAGAAAATCTACCCCATGTAGTATATAAGCGAAGTTTGTTTTCCCGCGCGCCAGACCAAACCGTCAAATTGGTGCGAAAGCGGTCAAAGACAAAGAATGTAACAAGGTTGTTACAGGTCCTTGGACCGTTGAGGGACGACATCGCCATCGATCAAGAAGCCAAACGGGCCCCCATCCAGACAAGGACCCAAGTCCTTCAGCCAAATAGGCTCCTGCAGGGTGGCGGGTTGGATTCTAATGGTCAACACCGAGTGAATAATCATGGATTTGTGAATCCGTGTGATAATTCCCGCCTATTCTATCTAACCATGCAAAAGCTTGAAGGCCCTCCCCTTCATTCCCCTTCATCTCCTCCCAAACCACTGGGATGTAGCACGAAGCCAGCACAGTCTCCTCCACATCCTTGGCGCTTTGAAAGTCTTTGATCTCCTTCAACTGCGGCGCCACGTCGAACGCCGTGACCCCCACCTGCAAAGTTCCCGGCTCCACAGACACGCTCGCGCTGGTGGCATGGCGCAAAATCTGGCGGATGGTGGTGGAATAAGCGCCCAGCCAGCCACCACGGCGATGGTTTAGAGTGGCCAAAAGGCCCAAACACTCCTGGAGAGCGGAAAGAGAGTGAAGTAGATTCAGGAATAAATGGGATGAAAGGACTGGGAGAATGAGAAGAACAAAGATTCTGTCATCAAGTCTAGTGATGGCGTGCTCTGGTCAAACATCCAACCATCAATCATGCAATAAACCTATAAGTATTGCAATGTATTATATATATAATATCTAGGTTCACTGCACTGGGTTCAAACGGAAGTGGCCCGAGAATGGTCAAACAGCAAACTGGCTGCATCTGGCTGCCCGGAACCGTGCCGGAAGATCCCAAAGGCAGGGGTTCCAAAGCTCATCCCTGTCATTCTACAACATGCCGTGGAGGTGCGTATTATTTAAACAACAAAGCAATCACGCACACACACACACACACCTCATGACACACGACAAAGTCACTAAGTTGATTACCTCTCTATCTGCTCTTCAATATTCTTCAATGCAAAGACATGATCTGTATAAAGTTTCAAGCTCTTCAAACATCCGCCATGATGGGAGGTTTCATTTGACACAGGAAGCGGGCAAACGAAGCAGGTGTCAATCTTCTACGAAACGGAAACTGAATTGCTGGATTCTCTGGTGAAGGTCTCTAGCCATCCTTAAGTAGGTCGATTCTGTGTGAAATGAAAGGCGCATGTGTGTGTGAGACTTGGGAAATGTACATACATGTACTGCATGTTCCATGCTCCACCACCCAGGACCCACACCAAATTTGTTTTATGTGTATGTGTATGTGTGTGTGTGTTTCGCTATCATGTTTTGCTATTCAATCGGGTGCCCCCAAGGGATCCCAAGGACCTCGAAGAGCTGTGGCACATTAGAGCCCATGGCCAGCAAGGCAGCCTTGGTAAGTTCCGACCCACTCATGGCAACTCAAACATTGAACTTCTTCGCGGCTGAGACTGGAGTGGCACTTGCCAACTTGCAAAACACTGGAAGCTTGTCAATCCGCTTTTCCACTGTGAAGCACGGCTTGTCACACCTCCAAGCGACAACCAATGCGCCCGAGGACACACCCTTGAAAACGAGTCCTCACGTGTGCAAGGAATATGGCCGACAAAAAGGATCAAGCAATACAAACTGTACAAAATATATAGAAAGAGAGGTGGCCCTGAGTTGGAGCAGCTTGTGGGTTGCTCTGGTCTTTTTCAAACATCTATATAGATCCAGCAATTGAGCAAAACTCGTCTCGGTAACGAACACCCTCCAGAGACTGCTCCTGGCTTGACGCTCTGGAAGTTGCTGGCACGCTGCAGGCAGGCGGCCGCGCCCAGCATGTAGAGACAAAGGTTGCTACAAGGAGCGAAGGACAAAACAAAGCCCTCGGCGAAGCGCTCGGGCAAAGTCACCTGGGCAACTTCACACCAGTCATTGATGTAAGTGAAATGATGCAGTGACCCGTAAAGCATTGGAACATAATATATATTCGAAGAAACATACCTGGAAGACGCTGACCACCAGCAGCAGAAACCAAATTGTTACGTGAACCTCTAGGCTAACCACTTTCCTCGGTCCAGCCCCGCGAGTTGCTCCACCTGAAGCAACATAACAACATGAAACTCTTAACCCCTCCCGGGACCTCCTAGACACCACCAGGCAGTTCCAAGCTACGATCGGCAACGTTTCCAGCAACGCACCCATCGTCTCACGGGATGGCGAAGGCAAGCGTCGCAAAGGAGGAGCTTGGTGTGGGCCTAGCATCCTCGGATTGGCTGGATGTAGGGAAGCAATGGAAGAGAGAACCTCTCGTTGCACCTCCACATTCCACGACTAGGAACATCATACAGTTCTTGCTGTGTGTTGAACAAGTCAGCTGCAATGGATCAAGAACAGTCTCCCACATAGCAACAAACAACTACAAATAGAAAACTGCATGTCTACTATGTCTACCAAGCAATGTTGCATAACGTGGTCACTAAATTCCGCCGGTTCATTTGCTCTGAGAATCAAGGAGATCGCCCTTAACGAGATGAGAAACCTCGGCTTGAAAAACAACAAATCTGAGCGGAACTGGTCCAAAAGAACGGGCAATGGTGCTAAAAGGAAAGCACACACAGATCCAGTTATATACATATATATATATATATATCTAAGGGATTCTAAGGGTAACTAAATCATGGTTACACCCTGGAAGACTAACATGGACCCTGAAAACCACTGGTTGGTAGAGGAAAACAATCTTCTAGGGGGGCATTGTCAGGGTCTATGTTAGTTTCCGGGAGTGTATGTCATGCTTTCTCAGCAAAACCCTCCAAAAGTTGCTCGACGATCAACAAATACTCCTCAAAGGCCAGAGCTTCCAACAAGTCCCTGGGATTCCAAATTCCCTGCCAAGTTAGTCAGCGAATCAAGGTGGTGAGGCAGTGAAGCTTCGAGTTGAGTGTTGTGCTCTGTGACTTTGTCTCGAGATAGCGTGTCGGACGAGGAGATCAAGACTTACCAAACAAACATTCTACTAACCCTCCATGTCACCAACATCCCTCAGCATGCAAATAGTACCATGAACCTTTTTCACTACTCAGGAAATCATTCTCGCACGTGGCTTCCTTGCATTCCGGGCCACGCGGCGGTGGCCACATGACAGCAAATCCAAAAGCTTCGCAGCACCACGAAAGCGAGGAGATCATTCACTTGGGCCATTCACTTCTCGCAGCAAGCAGCAGCTTCTCAGCTGAGCAGCTGGCGATCTTTTGATGCGGATAATGCGGGAACTGTGGGATGAAGTGCACCCAAGAATTGGCGCAACTATCTCCCACAAATTGGGGTTTCTGAGTAGGAACCCCTAATTTTTCATTGGGTCCAGTTGCGCTACATTCTTTTTCAGGGCCACGCTGCTGATGGGTCATTGGTAATGTGGTCACCTCAAACACAGCAAAGACTGCACGTGATGAAATAAGAAAGTTGTTTGGGCGCCTCCATTCAAGTATCCTGTAGCGGCTCAATGCTGTGTATGAGAGCGGGGTTAAGCTTGCATTTCTGTCGGAACATGCAAACCTGAGGGTCTTAAATCGGGCTGGCTAGAGGCTAGAGCCACTCCACGGTCCACCCAAAAAGCATCAAAGAGCAAACATAGCGGCAAACCCGATTACGAGGGCGAGGATTTGATGTTTATGGAGGCGATGACACGCTCGTGTCAGCTGAAAATATCTGAGCATAAACGTGCTTGAGCCAAAATGTGCAAAGAACGGGTAGAACTTTGGCAATTTCCACATACCAGATCAAGTCCAAGTTGCGAAATCCGAAAACACCCCCAACCAACTCCAAAATAAAACAAACAAAATGTGGCACCGTCTCCCCACAAGGAGGGTTTGCTCTGAGCTCTACTCTGGCAAACGCTTGCGTATGTTCCACCAGACTCACCAGAGGTTTCATTTCGACCACCTGCAACTAGTTTCCCCAACCCGATCGTCCATGTTTCGCGCACATTAATCAAGGAGGATTCAACGAAAGCTGCACACTCCACGTGCTGTGCGCTGTTTTGGCTTTTCGTCTCATCAAAGCCTCCTGCATGAGATATGCAGCAGTCCTCTGGTGCGACTGATCGCGCCTTCTGTGCGAAGGATAGAATATGAAGATTATAACGTGGACACAACCACTTTGTACTGTGTACATCGCAAAAGCACCGGAGGCAACATCCTGGGTTGGCAGAAGAATGATCCATCTCGGCCAGGTCAGAACCTAAACCACTTGTGGAGAAAGGATCCATTCGTCGTGGGTGATCCTATGAAAACATCATTGCATGCTTGAAACATCATGTCCACACATATCCTTCTGTTTGGGTGTTCTTTTCTCAGAATTGCAATTCATTTAGCGCCTGGAAGTGAGCTTTCATTCCTATGGATTCGTCGAAGTCTTCCCGCCAGATTGGGAGAACTTGCCCAGTGTCCCAGCGTGGTTGCGATTTGTGACCGTGAACTGTCTTGCGCCGCTGCGCTGCCACGCCACTGCGCTGTGCTATGGCTTTGTTCTTGTCGCCGCTGCGCCGCTGCGCTGCTACGCCACTGCGCTGTGCTATGGTTTTGTTCTTGTCGCCGCTGCGCCGCTGCGCTGCTCGCGCGTTTTGTGGTGTCTTTGAATTGTCTTGCGCCGCTGCGCCGCTACGCCACTGCGCTGTGGTATGGCTGTGTTCTTGTCTGTGGCGCGCCGCTGCGCTGCTGCGCCGCTGCTTTGCCACGCCGTTACGCCGTTACGCCGCGTAGCCCACTGTCTGCGCGGTGGCACATGTGCACTTCTGTTACGCCTTGTTGCTGTTGTTGTTGTTGTTGTTGTTGTTGATCTTCTTGTTGTTGATCTTCTTGTTGTTCTTCTTGTTGATCTTCTTGTTGCACTGTTGTTCTTCTTGTTCTGCTTGTCCTTGTTCTTGTTGTTGATCTTGTGCTTGTTATTGTTCTTGTTGTTGTTGTTGTTGTTGTTGTTCTTGTTCTTGATCTTGTGCTTGCTCTTGTTCTTGTTGTTGGACTTGTT